TTTTTTCAGATGAGTTGTGTAAACGTGCAAATTTTGCAGGATTACACAAGAAATTTAGAACAGCTAAAGGACTCGAGAATGATAGACCTGTTCCAAAAAAAATATGCCCACGCACTTGTAGTAAGGCTTCACTTATTTCTGTTTCGATATTTAATCTACCCCGTGTTATTTTGTTTTTCGGGTTCTTTTTGTGTGACTTAAGAATATATGCCGCATATTTCTGATTAATTCAGGTTGGAGTAGGGTTGATGGTGTTACAACAATTTGGAGGAGTTAATGCAATTGCATATTATGCAAGTGCCATATTTTCATCAGCAGGTAAACTGATTTTGTTCTAAATGCTTTGAATTACTAAGTGTCGCCCGTAGATAGGTCGTAGAAAGATGCTAACGTCTTTGATTATGACAGGTTTTTCATATAAAGTTGGAACAACATCAATGGTAATTGTTCAGGTAATAAATGTTCAATATATTTATATTTTTATTTTTCTCCTTACCAGTCTTTTGGCTTTCCTTGTTCTATTTGAAGACCTCACCATTTCTGCAGGTTCCGATGACTCTGTTGGGAACACTGCTGATGGATAAATCTGGAAGACGTCTGCTGCTATTGGTACATACTTTTAAATTGCGTTATATGATAATGACATTATTACACCTACAGTTTGACCCAATTACAGACAGCTCTAGTAATCTTTCAAAGTTACATATGCTCCCAAGATGACTTTTTTTTACCAATAGCATCCCAAAGAGCCTTCATTTTATCTGAAAATAAAAATGAGGTGTTGTAAAAAGAGTCACATGTGGAGGGGTTATTTGTATTTTGTATTTATGAATGATAAGTTTTTGTTTTGGTAATTAAGCTAAACATCTGGGCTGGTTTTCGCAATTAGACGCTACTTTATGTTGAGCTCTAATATATGACATGTGCATGTGTTTTTGTAGGTTTCAGTTTCTGGAACTTGCTTGGGCTGCTCTCTGATTGGATTGTCATTCTTAATACAGGTTATTTATTCTTACACACATCTGTGCTCTCAGTAAGGTTGATGTTGAGATTTAAAAAGAACCCTCCTCTCCACAGTGCAGGACCCTAAGCTTTGGAATTTTAGTCCTTTCCTAGCATTTGGTGGCGTCCTGGTAAAACATATTACTGTTTGTGCAAAACGTTACAGCTTTACAACATTCAAGAATGTATTCTGATTTTACCTTAATGTAATGAATTTATTTGATCGACGATTGGAAAGGAAAATAAAAGTCTAATACAAGTTTCTTTTCTGGCAACTTTCATTAGATATTTACAGGATCATTCTCCTTAGGCCTCGGAGGCATCCCTTGGGTAATAATGTCGGAGGTATTTACTTTCGTTATATGGTGCGTCTGAAGTTGAAAATCACTACTGACTATATATTTGAAGCAACTAATCTTTAATGTGTTATTATCGTTGCATGATAATTTCAGATATTTCCTATAAACGTGAAAGGTTTAGCTGGAAGTCTTGTGACCGTGATCAACTGGTTCGGTTCTTGGATTATTACTTATTCCTTTAACTTTCTAGCGCAGTGGAGTTCTGCAGGTAATCTTCTCCTTCTTCTTCTTCAATGGTTTGTGGTTACCCAATACCTAATCATAGAGTGTGTTCATTTTCGTTGGATCTATTCAGGCACCTTTTTCGTCTTTGCAATTGTAAGTGGTTTTACCATCGTCTTTATTACAAGGCTGGTCCCCGAGACCAAGGGACGAACACTGGAGGAAATACAAGCATCCATGGTTTTGTTTGTAGGGGCATAGTCTTCTAATTTCAAAACACTAGCAAACTTGTTAATTATAATTATGTAAACCGTGTCCATGAAAAGTTTGAGTGTTACAAAATTATAAATAAATAGAATTAGGTTTGACCAACTTTTTTTATAGTAATATTTAATTTGGTTTGAATTATATGGTGTAGAAAAATTCTATCTCATGTTATATTTATTTTCTCAAATTGATTTTCAATGAGTGAAAAATAAATGTAAAGATAGACATTAATTGATATGTAAAAGGTTGGTTGTAGGATTTGAATAGTCAAAAGTTCTATCTCACATCTATATCTATATCTATACTTATATTAAAAGCTATACTATTTACTAAATGTAGTATGTAGAATAGTAAACCATAATTAATGATTTGCTATTTTTATCAAGCATTTAATTAATGCATTTAATATTTTTGGTATGCAAATCAAATTAGCATTTAATTAGTTCCTAAAATATTGGGTATGTAATATTAATTTAGGAATATCCATGTATTTCCTAAAATGTTGGTATGCAATACGTAAAAGAAGATTTTATAATTTTTTAAATATAAAATATTGCAACACGTAAAATTATTCTAGTTATTTTCTTATTTTATTTTAAATATATAATTTAATCAATATTTAATGAATCCTACAAAATTGGATTTAGTTTAATTCTCCATATAATTGGTTATAACTTTTTTCAGTTGTACTTTTTTATTTATTTATTTTACACTTTTAAATTAATGAAGCTCTCCGAAAATACCAAATTAAATGATTTATGAAAGTTTTTTTTGTTTTTTTTTTTACAATTTTAAATTTATATACCCAGCTTAAAAAAACTCATCGCATAAATATGGATGAGTTTAAGAAAAATTTCATAACCCAACTTATAAAATTCTATCTCCACGAGTCAAAAAAATCACATTCTCATCTATCGTAACAACTTTAAAGATAAATAAATAAAAGTCTAATTACTACTATAAATTCATTATCTATATAGATTTTTTAAAAAATTAAATTTCACCTGTCTAATTACTAATATTTTAGATACTTTTAAATATTATTTGTATAATTTTTTTTACATGTTTGCTCTCTCTCTCACTCTCTCTCTATATATATACATATATGAAGGTTAAGTGAAGAATTTTTAGACATATTTTCCTTACGGGTAGTTTACAAAAATTTAGGTAGCTTCAAACATTATTTGTGAATAATATAGAATATTTTAGATGCTTTTATAGATGTTATAAAATATTTTAAGTGTTTTTAATATTTATATATCACACTTAAAAAGAATATTTTGCCAAAAAAAAAAACATTAAATACACATTGTAAATGTTAATAGAAACAATCTTCAGTGTTCGTCATTGATTTTGTCAAATAAAAACTCATAAAATCGGTGAAGTCAAAATTTGTACGTAAAGTCTATCTATACTAAAAAAAGGTAGATTCAAAATTCTTTATCTACTTTCTTTTTTTCCTTATCTAATTCCTTCTTATTATCTAATTGTATAGAAATCTGTTATGATTTTGTTCAATCCTCTAATTGTATTTGTATCATATCCCATAAAATCGGTTTAACAAAAAAAATCTCATAACATCCGATAATTAAAAAAAAAGTACGTAAAATCTTTACTAAAATAAAAAAGACTTTATTTATTATCTAATTTATTATCTAATTGTATGGAAATCTGTTCTGATTTTATAGTACGTACTATAAATTGTGCACCCGTGTTCAGGAGCTACTTAACGGGCAAACTTTTGTGGAAATAACTCATTTAATGATTCTGTCCTGTACATACGGTATGTATTTGTATTACACATACTAAAAAATTGTGCACCCCGTGCATCGCACGGACTCTGTACTAATAAATGACCTTAAAATTGTGCACCCCGTGCATCACTCGTGTTCACATTTTGGCCTATTACAGGTCACGTACTATATATATCCCGTACATTTTTCTTTATTCATTTATATAACTATAAGATTTGATGAATAACCTTAATTTTGTGCACCCCGTGCATCGCACGGGATCTGTATTAGTATATATCAAAAGCCAACATATTTACCAAAAACAGTAACAAGAAAAGTCAACACACATTTAATACATATTTTATTTAGAATTTTTTTTATTATATGCATTAAATGCTTGCATATTTACATTTACTATCCAAATATAATCTTAAAAAAAATTTCCTTATATAATTTATGTAATGATTTTACTGTTATCCAATTATAATTAATATTTGTCGAGTAATATTTTTTAACATTTATTTAATTATATAACACTAATATTTTTTTTAAAAAAATAATATTATTTTATATTTAAAAGATAATGATCACATCATTAAATGATTATTGATGGTTAGATAATAAAATTATATTAGTTATTCTTTAAAATTTAGACATATTATTTATTTGTATATTATTGTCAACTATGATAGTGTATTTATCACTTTTTTTTTACGTTTCAAAAATGAACTTATTGTAAAATATTTTTCTATTGCATAGTATGTTAAATAAACTATAAAGCCTTAGGATGAAAATTAGAAAAAATCTCTTGATTATGTAAGGGATTTATTTTATGGCAATTGCTTAATCATTTTTTTTTTTTAAAAAAGAATTATTATGAGAAGTTGAATTCTAAAAAACATGTGTGTGTATTTTGTAAACATTTATATTCAAAATTTTATTTTGAATTTCATTACATAAAGAATACTACTTCTTTAACTTTTATAAATAATAATAATTACATTATATGACTGTAAATTTTATAATAAAATAATAATTAAGTATTATATGGTGAACAATAATTAATAAAATTTTTATCTTTTCTTATATCAATGAATAAATATGTATTCTAAAATCAAATAAATATTAGTGTGACGTGTTAGCGAAATCTATACTTATATAATAAGGTATCCTATTTACCAAATTTAGTAGGTTAAAAAGTCAACGTAATTAATTCATTGTTATTTCTATCCATAATTTTATTTAATTATTTTATTTATTTGTCTTATATCCCATAAAATCAGTTTAAGAAAAAAGATCTCATAACATCTGATAAGTAAAAAATAATGACATAAAATCTTAACTAAAATAAAAAAAAAAGATTTTATTTATTTGTCTTATTCCATATTAATATCGATTTTTTCAAAACAAATCCCATAAAATCGGTGAAGTCTAAATTTGTACGTAAAGTCTATCTATACTAAAAAAAAAGGCATATTCAAAATTCCTTATTTAATTCTTTCTTCTTCTTATCTAATTTCTTCTTATTATCTAATTGTATGGAAATCTATTATGATTTTGTTCAATTTTCTAATTGTATTTGTATTATATCCCATAAAATTGATTTAACAAAAAAATCACATAACATCCGATAAGTAAAAAAAGTACATAAAATCTTTACTAAAATTAAAAAGGCTTTATTTATTATCTAATTGTATAGAAATCAGTTCTGGTTTTGTTCAAACCGATTTCTGTATATTCAAATTCAGATTTTCTAATAAAAATATTAACAATAATATATATCTACTCTACCCATTATAAATTACAAATCTCAAAATATCGAGTCATCATCTTCCACACTATCAACCTCCTGCGAACAAAAAATATCTCCAATCAGTCTTTTATTCAAAACAATGAATCAAGGATTTGAGCTAATCAAACAAGTCAATAGGTCTAATAGACATATGCTCAAAGTTCGATTTGTGAGAATGTTTTTCTAAGACTGGAGCAGCACATACAAATCATATCTCGAGTTGGTTAGCATGATAAAACTGCAAGCCAAATTATTTGAATTTTTGTTTTAATTTCGAAATTTGAAACGTATATTTTATGTTTTATTTTTTATTTTCATGTATGTATTTAGACATTTTGTACATGTTTAGTGAAATATATTTTTGATTTTTTTTTAATTATATTTCAGATTTGCAATTTGGTTTATTTATTCCACATATATGTATTTAGATATTTACATTATTTATAATAATTTTTGTGTATTGTAAAACTTTTATTGAATATTGCATCTTATTGTATAATAATCCCCAAATAAATATATCCCGTGTCTCGCACAGGTCACGTATTATATATTCCGTATATTTTTCTTTATTCATTTATATAACTATAAGGCTGGATAAATGACCTTAAAATTGTGTACCTCGTGCATCGCACGGGCTGTGTACTAGTATATATATTAAAAGTCAACCTATTTACTAAAAATAGTAGCAAGAAAAGTCAACACACCTTTAATGCATACCTTATTTAGAATTTTTTTACTATATGTATTAAATGTTTGCATATATACATTTTTTATCCAAATATGATCTTAAAGATTCTTTTATTAAATAATTTTATTAATTTATGTAATGATTTTAATGGTATCCTTTATAATTAATATTTATCGATAATTTTTTAACCTTTATTTAATTATATAAAACTAATATTTTTTTTAAAATTAATATTATTTACCATTTAAAAGATAATTATCACATCATAAAATGATTTTATCGATGGCTAGATAATAAAATTGAAATTTAATAGTTATTCTTTAAAATTTCGACGTGTTATTTATTGTGTCTCTATAATGAACTTATTGTAAAATAATTTTCTATTACATAGTATGCTAAATAATTTATAAAGCCTTAGGATGAAAATTAAAAAAAAAAATATCTTGATCATGTAAGGGATTATTTTTTGACAATTGCTAAGTAATTTTTTTAAAAATTATTATGAGAAATTGAATTCTAAAAAACACGTGTCTGTATTTTGTAAATATTTATACACAACATTCTATTTTGAATTTCATTACATAAAGAAGACTACTTCTATAACTTTTAAAAAGAATAATAATGACATTATATGACTATAAATGTTATAATAAAATAATAATTTAGTATTATATGGTGAACAAGAATAAATAAATTTTTTATTTTTTCTTATATCAATGAATAAGTATGTATTCTAAAATCATATTAATATTAGTTGACGTGTTAGCGAAATAATATATTA